ATCTGAGAGAGTCACTAGGATTGATAAAAAATTTTCTGTAATTCAAATGAGCAGTGATGAGGTTTGTAACTAAGAAGTATTCCTGGAAACAGAAGGATGGGAGAAGATTGAAAATGACTACAACACAAGACAACTAAATGAATTTGGGCTAAGAAAGGACTGAAAGAAAGATGAATAATGAAACACTCATCTGATAAACTTCAATTTATAAATGTAAAAATGTATCCATAGACTTTAATAAAATAAAGCCAGTTAATGCTTCCTGCTGCCAGCAGATGGTGTTACTGATGGGATATTTTCACCTTGAACAAGGTGCTATTTTATTAATTGGTATATTTGTTGTCTGTGTGTCTAGTTTGGATGTATTTTATGAACATTATTAACTCACCCATGAGGTACAGAGGGCAAAAACAATGAGTGTGGAAATTACTGGTACTAAGAGATGTAATAATATTATCACAGTGTTGAAGAAATTAAAATGAAAATCAGTAAGCATGAGGAAAATTGTGGAAATTGAATTTGTGGAGGGACTGAATCCACCTCTGAGAAGGGAAAATTTTGTGCATCTAGCACAGCTCATTAAATTCTTGGGGTGAAGGATTGTGGAGGATGAACAAATAAAGACAAAGGAAACAAAGCTGAGATCAGGTGGAGGCCTCTCTCCAGATGGGAGAAAAGGAACTGCTCAATGACCATCGCATGTTTCTTTATACATTTGGCAGGTTGATGTCACATAACATCCTCTGCCTAGCAGCTTCTTTGCTTGGCTTGCCTTGGGCTCCTAGTGTTCTCTGGGCTGGAGCAGCTTGTTCATGTGGCTTGCCTTGGGTGTTCTTTGCTCTCAGGGCCAGCCTGGCTCCAGCCCCACACATGTGATCAGTCTCCATCTTCAGCTGCTCCCTGTCTCCCTTTTCTGTTTTGTAGTTGCAAGTGATGAGTGCCCTGTTGAAGGTGGAGGAGCTGTGTTTGGAGGACTCTGTAGAAGACCTCATTCTTGAACTCTTTCCAGTCTGAGTGAACTTACTTGTTTAGGCTAAAGATTCCCAGTCCAAGAATTTCAGGTCCCTGCATTGAATAATTCAACACTATGCAGCCCATTAATCCATAACAGTAGTCAGTTACTGCTATAGCTGGAAATTGTCAGAAGGTGTTAGTGATTTGAGTTTCTTTTATAGTTAGCATATTACTTTGGCATTTTTTTATACCTCTTATAGTTATACTTTTCTGCTGTATGTTTAAGACCAGGTTATGAGACCTGTATTAATTAAAATTAATTTTTTGCTATCTATGAAGGTCCAGTAAGTCTCCTCAGGATTTACCTTGGAACCATGCATAGCACTCCTCAGTACCCCTGTCAGTGTCAGCCATGTAGATGAGTCATGGCTGTTGCTTGACCAAGTTGCTTTCTGTGAAAGCGTGGGAGATTTTTCTCTCCTGATGACCCTCCTTAGGCACAGCATACATCAATTACTTTCTCCTGTGGTTCCCCAATCTCCTTAGTCAGTAGTTTGTATAACTCACCACAGTTTCAGGATGTCACAAAAAAGTTTCCCTCCTGTACTGGGTCCTCATTGACCTCCGAGGGCTGGGACCAAAATATTGGTTATCCTCCTAGCCCATCTATTTTTCTAGTTTTTGTCTCCAAACCTCAGTTATTGAACATCCAGAAGAGATTAATGATGTTACATTGTATTCTGAGCAATGAGCTTAATATTATACAAAATAGAACTGGTATTTCCTACCAACCATCAATGTTCCAGTATTTGAATCCCTGTAGAATGTTAATGGACAGCAGATATATATTTTACACAGAAAATTAGAAATCAAAAGCCATATAAAATATTGTAGCATGACAGCCATGATGACATTTTTGTAATATACCTGAACTTCCATTTTGACATAAAGTAGTCCTTTTAGTCAGTCATCCCTATCTAGTACATAAGAAGCTTTTACCTACCTCACTGACCTTTAATGGGGAATACATCACATAAGTTTTTGTTAAAGGCAGATATCTGAATCTGAAAGAGAAGTCTATTATCATAGAAAATCCCTGTTTTACATTTTGGAAGACCTGTACATCTGGAGGCATGAATACATTTAATACACCATGAGATTAGTAACAGTCAATTGTAATAGCTATATGAAAACCTTTGTACCAGAGCATATTTAAATCAAAAACCTTATTGTATAGAAAACTTAATCTTTTGACAATAACCGATGTAAACATACCACAATAATATATTTTTAATAACATTTATTGTGATGTCTCCCATAAAGCTATGGATATCATTGAGGCTCCTTATTAATGAACAAGAACTGGACAAATATTTCCAGATAACCACGTTTTTATTCATCAGAGGGAGCCTTGACCAATAATTCTCCAAGACTGAAGGGTTCCCATTTAGTTACTTAAACAAATTTCTGATGACCTCTGAGAAAACCAATTTTAATATCATACTGAACAGCAGGCAACCCTGGTGGAAGCATGCTTTTCAAATCCATAACCCAAATGAAATTTTGAACAATAATCCAAAAATGCAAACAAAGAAGAAAGAGAAAATAATTGTTGAGCTCAAATAAAAAAACAGCTGTTCACAGATACGACAAACAGACAAAGAAACAAAAATACAATTTGCTTACAATATCAGAGTGCACTCAACTATATATTTTTTGCCAAATTGAATTATAATAACTTCTACAATTTTAGAAATTTGTAATTATAAATAGACTAGTCAGATTTTTCTTTTGTAGGTCAATAGCAAAGATCTCTTACAAGAAGAATTTGGAAGGAACAAAATCTTTTATCGATAATTAATACATAGTTTCTGTATTTTGTTGTCTTAAGAATACTGGTAATATTTGTATTCCCTTCTTTCATGTCACTTCAAGCTCAGTTATCTCCAAGCACTCTACCACCTACTCAGACCTTTGATTCCCATTTTTAGTGTCCATCTCCTGGGCATCCTGTGTCAATTCCTTTTCTTGGCCCCAGGTCATTAATTATACTGCCAAGTGGAGTCTATTATGATACATGAATTTTGTAGGGAAGGGTTCCTCCTTTTGTTTTTATAGTTGAAATTTGAGCACAGATCTCAAAATCTTGGGGTGAAGGATGGTGAAGGGTGAAGAAATAAAAACAAAAGTCAGGAAACAGAAAGCTGATGTCAGGTGGAGCCCTCTCTGTAGATGGGAGAAAAAGAACTGCTCAAGCACTGCAGTACATTTATTTATACACTCAGCAGGTTGATGTCACATGACACCCTTCTGCCCAGCAACCTGTTTGGCTTGCCTTGGGCACCTGGTGTTCTTTGGGTCAGAGCAGCTTGTTCATGTGGCTCGTCTCAGGCATTTTTTATTCTTAGGACTGACCTTGCCCCAGCCCTGCACATGTGATCAATCTGCAGCTTCAGCTGCTCCCCACAATGAATGAATGCCACTTGTGAAAAACACCATGCGTTTTACAGTTCAGAAGTAGGTGAGATGTAATTAGCCAGATGAGAGGAAGGCTTTACTGGATAGAGTGTGTATCTGGAAGATCAGAATTACTATTAATGCTACTAACTCAGTGTTATTTTACTTCTTTTACATGAAAGCTAGAGGTTTGTTCTGGAGGGCTAGCACCAAGTATGGTGCAAGAGTGGCAGTGATATTTTTCCTACAAGCCATAGCCCCATAGTTCCAAGGCCTGTTTGTATGTGCATAATGCTGGGTCTAGAAGGGGCATGTGGAGATGTTTGAGCTTCTAGAAAGTCCTGGAGATTCACCCAAAGGAAGCAGATGTGACCATACCTAGTGCAGAAGTGAGATGCAAATCAGAGAGCAGATTGAGTGCACTGAAAAAGATGCAGCCAGAGAATTTTTTCTGGGCATGTATGCTCTTTGCATTCCATCTTTCGTTGTGTGCTGTTGACATCGCAATAAGAGATGGATTTAATGATCAGTGTTTAGAACAGGCAAGAGAGACTTCCCTGCCCAGTATTCCATGAGAGCTAGTGACTGCATTTGTGAAAATAAAGAAGTAGTTAAGGATCTCAGAAAACAATTACCACTTCACCATCTGACATATATTTCCAAAATAAATACAATTTACACACTAACACATGATTTCCTTAGCTTTGCTTTCAAACAGATGTGTTGGTTTTTAAATTATTATGATATGTTGGTATATGGCCTTTAAATTAGAATATGAGCTGCAATTGGCATGTGAAGTTGATATTTAAGGAAGAACACATTTTAAACAAAACTATTACTTGTCTTTAGCTATAATACTAGATATAGTCCTGATGTTTTCTGAAAAATCAAAGGATAAAGTAGCATTAGAAAATGACAACCAATAGATTGGTGGAAGGAACTGAAAATAAGGATAAGCTTTTAAGTGTGAACAGATGCAACTTGAGAAAAAATGTATATAGTCATAAAATTAAATTAAGATAGGAAAAACATGTGTTCTTCAAATTGACAAATATTTGGAAGTGTAAGGTTTCCACAGAAGGTTACAGAGATTATTTAAAGATCAAAATGCCTAGAGTGCAGTAGGAAACTTATTTCGCTCATACAGTACGGTAGGCAAGGGAGGTGTCAGTGATTCAAAAAATGCTTAAAGAACAGGAGCAGCAGCTTAACACTGGGTTACCATGGGAAATTAGAGATGGTTTTTGAGTTTATGTGTTCCCTGAAATTTCTTTTGAAGATAAAACTTCAAGTAAAATATATAAGTCAACTTCTCTTGCAGTCTGATGAAATATACATACTGTATGATTTTATTATTTCCCTATTAAACTTTGTATTCCACCTTAAATAAACCTTTTCATTATTGTCATATATAAATTTCTACATTATTTAAATTACTGATAATAATAATTTAAATACTTTAAATTTATACCAAATGTAGAAAGTAAAAATAGTTTTTACAAATTATATTCTTGCCGTTTGAAAAGGTGTACTTGTGAGCTGAAGATGGTACTTATTCTTTAAATTAACACATTTTATGCTTCCCCTAGGCTGGAATGATAAAAAGTGATAATGAAGAGTATTTCATTGAACCCTTGGAAAGAGGTAAGCAGATGGATGAAGAAAGAGGGAGGATTCATGTTGTCTACAAGAGATCAGCCGTAGAACAAGCACCTGTGGACATGTCCAAAGACATCCACTTTGAAGGTAGGTGCCTTGGACATAGTAGAATAACTAGACAGGTTAAGGCATGTGGGAAGTAGCCCTCCTGGGAGGCAAGAAGGTGTGTTGTTATATTCTCATCTATAATGGGAAGGTAGCAAAAGGCATTTATATTTATAAATCATGAAATGGGCCTTTTCTTTTTAAATTGAAAAGTGTGTATATGTTATAGGTATTATTTTATTCCACGGCATTATTATATCACCAATATATTTTACTTATAAATTCTTTTAAAAGTCTCACACGAAAGTGTTTTTCTTGTGTTAAAATTGGAAACATACAGATGTATCTAAAATTATGGGTTATTTGTGTTATTTAAAATGTTCTCAAATAAGATGTCTTGACATGGCAGAGAGTTATGTTTTAAGAGCAGGATGATAGATACATTTGAAAATAAATTACGTTATTTGACTTTAAGGTCTGTTTTGTGATTCTTTTTCTTATTTGAAGGAGACTTAATTTCTTTAAGATTTTATAAACAAGAACCATTGAAGTCAAGGAAATTATGGTACATGAAAATTTTCTATTTTTGTTGTAGTAAAATCTGAAAATAGATTGATATTAAGGACATATTCTTACATGTTTAATTCAGAAGTTTCTATTGAGAAGAAAGGAAATTTGGACATTTTAATTTTTTTACCAGTTTTCTAAAGTCTGTATTACTTTTGCTAGCTCAACTCTGGTTAAAGGAAACTTCCCTGAGGAAAATGTGAGGGATACAAAGAATGTTAATTTGACAATAATTTGTCTTCTAGATTGCCCTTTGTGAATTGCTACCTGCCAAGTGGCTTTTCCTGACCTCCCTTTACCTGCTGCACTAGTGGAAGAGTATTCTTTAATATACACTTAAAATTAGCACAGCCTGAACAGTTCTGAACAATCTGTCATTTGAAGTGTGTTAATAGATACAGTTTTATGAAATGTGTGCCTGATTTTGAGAGCCACTCTAGGCAGGAGATGGGATGAACATCACAGTGCCTGGCCAGAGCCACAGCTTGCCCTGTCAGTAGCTCTGATCCCCTGGACTAGTACTTGATCTCTGTGAGCCTCAACAACTTCCTCTATGAATAGAACTTGAAGCACATCACACCAGAAGCAATGTCTGCAAAATACTGAGTGTAGCCTTCAACAAAGTCAGGTGCTTAATCAGAATCAGCGCTTTATAATTTTATTAATGAGTAATACAGTTATCTTGTGCACAAATGCTCACGCTAGGGGTTCTGTTAAAGTTGAACAGTTACACTTTGATTGCCTTTATATTGTGAATATGTTATTCTTAATTCTTGGTTATATTTTTATGTTTTAAAAATTTAATTCCACAGGAGAAGACTGGTTATGTCAAAGACAGGATAGGTAGTAGGTCAAAGTGCCTCTCCTCTAAGTCTTGGATGTTGAACATTATTAATATGCACAGTGTCTTTCTGAGGTAGTAGTTAACTTTCATTTAGAAAGTTTGCCTGCTGTGGCATTGTATGTAGAGCTGTAAGGCAACTATCTCAAAAGCTGCCCTCGCCCGCTGTCCGCTATCGGGCCTCTCTGTGGATCCGGCAGGCTGTGTGTGTCCTGTTCCCCCGTCTTGGTCCCTGAAGGAATACATTTCTACAAGTAGTGGCCTTTGTACTATCCATTAGTTTGATGTTTACAGGAAAGAAAAATTATTTTTTCCTTGAGAAAAATTGCAAGAAACATTATTTTTAGTACCTGTCATAGTTTTAGATAATAGAATAGGGAAAATAATTTAGTAGTCAAGGTATATAAATTTTTAAAAATTGCATAAAATTAAGGTAATTTGGGACATTATTATAAGAAATTATTCAAAATATCAGTTCCAGTGGCATCAACATACTCAGTTCATAATAAGCATTAGTTTTAAGTATGTAGATGCTGAAGACTGCATGGTTTGGTTTTCAATCACTAGTAGAAATTTCCCTATAGGAAAAGTAGGCCACAGCCTAACTAATAGATTTTGGAAAGGTTTTCAGCAGTCATACACCAGAGTAAATGGAGTTTCTCTGTTAAGTATCAGTTACCTTAAAACTTGAACCAAAATAGAATCACTTGGTTCTCTTAGAATGTTCTAAGAAATGCCTTAATAAAGACTTAATGATGTTTATTTTTCTTATTTATGAAGTTCTAATTGAATTGAGTAGCTGTGAATATCAATTCACCTTTTTTTGAGAATCTGACATTGTAGCCATTTATGGTAAAAGTTAACTTCCCTCTAAGGTAAAAAGAGATTCAGATTAACAAATTTAAGTACAGAACTGTAGCTTTTAATTTCTACTTTTAACTTCATGGTCACAGGACTGAGAGTCCATGCTTTTTCATGGACTAAATATATTCCAAGTATAAATTAGGAATATATTTTTACAATGTATTGTGTTATTATGACACATAAAATTGAACAGGATTAAGGTACCTTCTTGGGATTAGGCAAATATATTGATTTATGAATGAAAACTAAAGCAGCATATTAAGTAGTGTTTTATCTGGCATGCTTATTTTAGGAGATATATGAGATCTTCACATGAGCTGAGACTTATCTAGGAAAAATATATTTAAGAGCTGTGTCTTTATATATCTTTATAAGTTTTTTCTGACTGCAGGTCGTCAGGAGGAATATTGATCACTAACAAGCCCATTCTGACCTACAGGGTTTCTTCAGTACAGCCCCTGTGAATACCCTGCTGTATTTGTATAGTTATCACAGTAATTGCTGGAGCCTGGGTGTATTTCTTGCTGTAGCAGTTTAAGTGCTCAGCATGCTACATATTTTGCAGGTCTATAGGACCTGAACTAGATGCGTAGTACTAAGGTGGAAAATTGGTGTTGAACAGAATAGAGACTAAGTAAAAACCATAGGGTTTTATGATGGAACAGATCCTGGGGATAGGAAAAGAGCTGAGTGAAAGAGGAATGAGGGGGAAAGGGAGAAATCAAGGTGACTCAGAATTCTAATTTGGAAGACTAGAGAGTTGTCTTTCCAGAATTGGGTTTTATAAACAAGCAACAGAAATAAGCTTGTTGGAAGACGATATGATACATGGGTGTGATTTTGGATATAACAGGATTTTTGCAGTGTTTCATATCGTCTCCCAGGGACAGTATGTGAGCATCTTCTACAGACCATACAGCAGGAATGATTGAGGTCAGCTGGGCAGTTGAGGGGCATGTATCAGCTGTGGGTGCTTGGAGTCTCTGCTTTGTCTTCTGGCCACTCCTTTCCATCTACATCACTGAGAATCTGAAGTTGTACATTGTACAGATAGCCCATAGAGATGTCTGCTACCTACCACTACAGGTAAGGACATTATGTGCTTAAAAGTTAAAAATAAAATTTAGAAAGAAGACAAAAACTTGCTTGTCCCACACCCAAGAACACTAAGCTTTCTACTTGAGCAGATAGAAACATGTATTTCTATTTCTGCCTTCTAAGAATTTTCACCTGAGTTTCTAGGAAAAGTCACAGCTTTTGAATTTGTGTAATACATATATACATGGCACAATTCAAATGCAAGAGAAAAGCCCTCGACCAATTCAGTGCATAGCATAGATTCCCTATTCTTTATCCTCAATAGGGGAGAACTGTGGAAAGTCTTAAGAGCTGTGTAGAAATATGGTGAAGTAACCAGGAAGTCCCAGGTACAGGGCTACACGTTACAATTCTGGTTTCCTTTGGTGGTGGGAGTCATGGTTGGCAGAACTGGCAAGTGCCAGGGCTGGAGGGCAGCAGTGTCTTTCTAGTCAGACAGTTAGACAGTCCTGGCGTGCTAATGATAAAGGAACCGGTCTGCTTCATTATAGCAAGAGGTCTTCATTGACTTTTTTGTCCAATTTCTGCCCTAGAGGTGTGGAAATCACATCTATTTTAGACATCTTAGTTGAGGCAAACATATTTTCTATTTGACTCAGTATTTGAAATTTTAATTGGTAGATTATAAAGTGCATTTCCACTAATAAATCAATCATTTGTCTAAACCCAGATAAAAAACAAAACATGCCTTTGACCCCTCTCACATTGTCATCATTAAGAGGACTGCTTTGGGCAGTCTACTTTTGGGGGCCATGGGGTTGTACTTGTCTGACAGCATTCAGCTTTTCATATTTTTTATTGAATTGCTAGGCCCTTAGGCTTCTCCCTTCAAATTGCAAACTATTCATTCACCAGAAGCTTGGTGCTGAAGTAATTTTTGTAATTACTTCCTACCAGTGGGAAACAAGGAATAGTAAGCCTTTATCTCCTAGCTTCCTTTCAAGATTTTCATTTTCCTGCGGGAACCCAAATGCTTGTTTTGCTGGTGTGGTTGTCATGGTGCTGTGACGGGGTGTCTTTGTCCCAGGTGGGAGGCATAGAGAAGTCAGAAATGATTTAGGAGTTGCTCCTGGTTGCTGGGGAATGAGGGTATGAAACAAGAGCCAGAAAGATGAGAGGAGTATTTTATTTTAGTGATTATAGGAAGTTTCTAGGTGGAGAATCGTTCCTCGAATCTGCAGATATGGAGGCGCTCAAACCTTCTGTCTTGGGAACTTCTGATCTTTGAGGCCTGATCAAAGATGATCATTGGTGGGCTTTGTAATGCCCCCAGCCAAACAGTAGAAGTTAATTTTAGCCATTATTTTTTAGTAAATGAAGCATGGAATGTACTATTACTAAATAATAATTTATTAGTATAATCACATAGCAGCCATTGTTTTAGGCAGGTGTAGATTTGGGAATGTTTCACAACTGCATAATTTTGTCTGTAATCTAATGTAAAGATCAGTGAGGCTGCTTCTATTGGATTCATAGGGAAATACTAATCACATATATGGAAGTTTTTCTAGTTTTGTAAATATTATAGTCTGTGTTTTTATAATAATTTTTGACAAAAATGAAGGCAATATGGAATTTAATTGTGACAGAAAATGATTAGGAAGCTGAGTGTGAGTTAAAGGGTTGGCTAATGTGGAATAAAGTGAATACCTTTTTATTTTCCCAGTGAAGA